TTACTCATTTCCTTCCAAAGGTCCTGCCAATATGACGATCCGAACTATTTATTTTCATCTGTTACTTCCAATCAAAACTTATCAGAAAATTCAATTATTTTAACCCTACGACACTTCAATTATACGTCCATTTAGTTTGTCAGATTTGAATCTTTCAAATTGTGTTATAATTATTATTATTCTTGAAAGGTCTTATGATGTCTTAAATTTTATAGGTTTGGGACGAAAGGGTTCCTGTAGAGTGTGATGTCTCACCTTTTCGAAAAATCTAACGTACCTTTTTCAAAACGATCTCGATTTTCGACAAAAAAATGCATACTAAGCGACAAAATATATCCTTGGGTATATTCTTTTAAAACATTTAGATTAGTATTCCGTTGTTTTTGCTGTTACCAAAACGGCTATTGAAACATCCCGCCTTGAGTCTGAGCCCGCAACGTTTTTAGTGAAAAAAAAGTACAACCCATATACAACAAATTGCATTGTTGGCCGACATTTTGCGTCAAAATTCTCTTCACAGCATGCAAAAACTATAACCAACTACCCTTAGATGTCAAAAATGCAAAATGACTTTTTTTCTCGCGATTCTCCCACTCCGAGAACTTTTTTTGGTGGAACTTCGTCATCAAAAGAAATAAAAGAAAATAATAGAAACCAACTGAGGCCGTACTCCATTATTATGTCATAAACAATTTTCTTGAAACAACTTTTTCTTTTTTAAATTCACTAATTTCGTAGTCCGCTTGACCAATTAATATATTACAATTAATTAAGGTTTTAAATTGAGATAAAAAACTCAAAAGGTGGGGTTGAGATAGAATGTTGGTGTCCGAGTGGATCGAGGTCACGATAGCTCAAGTGGTAGAGCAGCGGCGTATCTAGCCGAAGATCATGGGTTCGAATCCCGCTCGTGCCATTAACTTTTTCTTTTTTGTTATTTCTATGAAATTTGTTTTTTACTTTACATTTTTTACTCATATCAGTTTACTAATAAAGATCATTAGTTTCTTTTTTCCTTTAATGAGTTCTTTTTTCAATTTCTATTAAATAAAATTTGCTTTTATTTATTTGTATATATTATATACATATATTTTTGTATACATAATTTATTAGTAGTAGAAAAATTGCTATTGCATACTACGTGACAATTGTTTTTATTTTTCTTTACTTTGTTTAATTTTTATTTTATTATCAGTACTTAAATATAATTTTCTTGAAAATGGAAAACCTTTGCTTAATAAAGACTGTTAAATTAATACCATTGCTCTTATGGGAGAATTTGTCCGGATTTTTTGAATTTTCATTTCCTGTAAGATAACTGCTTAACCCCTCTAAAAATACTTGATTTTTCAAAATATTCCTGATATGCTTATAGGACTTGTAGTTTACTGCTTTTTTTCAGGATATAAAAAATAATTCTTGCATAAATTCGTAAATAGTATTGATTTCAAAATTGATTAGAATTATTACAGACAACTTTTCATAACAAACATTGTTTAAATAAAGTTTAAAATTTTTCTTACCATTTAGTATGCAAGAAATTGTGGAAAATTAAAGACATTTAATTTTTAAAATTGGTTTATCGAGCAGGTTGAAAATTCTAAACCCTTGAATACAGGGAGGTTTTGAACGTGAGAAGTTGGTTTAATTTGTATACAGGGTGGTGCATTTTTCTGAGTTCTGATGCAATTTTCTAAATCAAACGAATTTCTTGGTAAATAATGAAAGATTTTAATTACAATTTAGCAATGTAAAGATATTAATAAATGAATCCGTAAGAAAATCATTTTGAAATTAAATAAGTCAATAAAGCTATAAAATCCACTAAAGAGAAATGAAAATGTTTCGATTGAAGGGAATATGTTCGACTTCATTAGTAAGAATTTTTTTTTAAAGTTCATTCGCAATAATAACATTATTAACCACCATCTATGTTATTTTAAATTTAGGAAATTAAGTGGTTATTCACTTTTCTTAACAACGGATTTTGTAGCTTCATTTATTTATTTAAAAACAGACAGAGTTTTTGTCGACCGAATTCATTTATTAACGAACTAATAATGCAAAATTGTTATTCAATATTTTCCCGGCTCTTACCAAGAAATTGGTTTTAATTGGAAAATTAAGAAAATTGCCACGCCAAGAAAAAATGCAAGGTTTAAGTTGATTGTTTTTCTTATGATCCGTGGAAAAATGTACCACTACCCTGCATACTGAATAAACCAACTTTTTCCGCGCAAAACTGCCCCATGTATTCAAGATATGTGAAGTAACATTTACGAAACCACATCTACAGTTACCAAAAATCTCGCGTCGAAAATTGCACCACCCTGTATAGAAAATGAATCAAACTTCCTCCGTTCAAAAGCTCTATATATTTATGGTATATCAAGTTACATTTAAGAAACCAAATTTACAGTTAGTTAAATTGCTAAAAAATGAAATTGGATCCTCCAGCCAAGGCTTATAATTCAAATACATATATGAATTGAATTTTTGCACAATTTTTTTTTACTTTTTAATTAAATTACATTTATTTTTTCCAACTCCTGGCATATTAAATGATAAGAGAAACTTTCAACTTCTTCTTAAACAATATTTTTTTATGAAATGTTTTCACTGCCTGCAATAATTCTACCGACTAAATTTTGAAATAAACAATATTAGTGAATTTATCCAAAAAGTATGTATTATATTACATATCCTGAAAAAAGTAGTAAAGTAAAAGTCCTATAAGTGTATCACGGATAATATTCTGAAAATAAAAAGTCAAGCGTCGAAAATTGCATCACCCTGCAATAATTCCACCGATCAAATTGGTGAATTTTTCAGTGAAAAGTTTTTTTCGGTTTTTCCCCGTATCCCCCTCCCCTTTATATTCTTAATACACGTTAGCATGTCAAGGCCAGACAATAAATAATATTTGGATTATGTGTTGTATGATTGTTTCTGTTGAAAATGGAAAATAGTGGAAAAGAAACTGCATTCAGAAAAACAACATAGTTCGACTTTTTATAAAGTGAAACCCCTTTTAACGGACAATTTTTTCATTCTCCCGGCCAAAAAAAAGGATTTCTGTACACTTTAAACCCCTGTAAATCCCTCCAGTATGAACGCAAACAGTTAAAATATATTGAATTACTATTTATATCTTCTTTTTTTTAAAGTAAAAAACGTTTCAGAAATGCTAGGTATCACATGTAATCCTTTACTGAGAAATAATAAATAGAGAATAAATTTTATGTTTTATCACAGCAATAGCCATTGAGGCTGGTGAACATGACATCCCGCTCTTGCTTCCAAAGTGAGGTACTTCGTTTTCTTAAGTTCAAAGAAGCAGTGTGTTGCTTAAAACGGTAAACGGTGTTGTTTTTAATCTAAGTACTGCTTTGCTTTCCGATGTGAAAAGTAACACACAACATTTCATATCTTTGCTTCATACTACAATAATATGACAAAACTATGTCGATGTCATTCCTATGATCATAAAGAAAGCGTCTAAAAAAAAGTTGATCCAAATCGGGCCGGTATATTTCGAAATGACTTCTTATATACAAACAAACTTTCTCTCTTTATTATACTATATATACTGAAAAAGTAGTAAAGTAAAACTGCTGAATCAAAAAGCACCACTGTATAATTGTGGTGCGCTAAAGTACAGAGAAAATTTTATGTTAAATAATGTAAATGTTTAAGCCAACTGGCAGACTAGTGCATCCTTTTACAAGTATTGTTTCGTTATTGTATAGAGATGTAATATTTTGGTTTGTGAACCAGCATAGGTTCACTTATCGGGCCCGTCTTCACTCCCGGATTTGTTGAATTGCTCAAACCCGCTTCGGCACCGCGCCATCTTCAGTGTGGAACTGTCCGATGAAAATTATTTGGAAGATTTAAGAAATTGTGGAGAACTATCGCGACTCAGGCCCTTCGTGGGCTGTCAAAGTCAAAGGGTATTAGTAATACTCAACGAGTCCCCACCGTCTTCAGTGAGTAACCGTCCTGTCGAGACGGTGTAACTGCGGACACAGTCCTTCACTGAAGATGGCCCAATCCCGAACGTGTTTGAGCCATTCAACAAACACGCGAGTGAAGACGGACCCAATAAGCGACACAATGCCGATTCGGCGAGAGTTCACCGACTCCCAGACCAACACCAATTAATCAATTTTTGATTTGTTGTTTTCAAATATAGTTATTACTTTTATGTAAAGAAACAAAAATTCCAAAACGCAATTTATTATTTATATGTATTTAAACAAACTGATTTCTCGGGGTTCTATTAACATCTACTTACAAATTTTTTTTTTAAAATATTTTTTTAAGGCAAAATATTTTTTATTTTAATAGCACCTTGGTGATATAGGTATCCTAAAAAGTGTAATATTATATTGAAAGTATATATTATACGCAAATTTATTTCATTGCATGCTAAAAAATGTCATGAACTACAAAGAAAGAGCTTTTTTTATTATTTTCATTACATATAAATTTTTTTAGCGCAGACCAATTTAATTTATCGTATATAAATTATTTACATTATTTTACGCAATAAAATTGTATTTTTATGAGCTTTTGGTCTGTTGAAAGAAAACATTTTAGTTGCAGACTTCGTTATTTTGTTTAAAATAATGGTCAAAGTAACAAATCAAGTCTACCTCTCAAAAATTTTATAACGGTAGACTTGTGTTTATTTAAGTTTTTCTAAGTAGTACAACCGGCTGTTTGTTTTGGTCGGTGTTTGTTATAGTTCTTTTTAAAAACTTTAGGTTGTATGTATCGGAGTGTTAGGGGTAGTTTGAGAAGTTATATAACCAGAGGGCAAGGTGTTGAGGATGTCCTGTGCTGAATGGGATGAAACGATTGACTAATCCGGGTATAATGGCGAGTCTACCTCTCTGATCTTAAGGTACGGTAGACTCGTTTGATCCGTGATAACAATGGAAGGTGATGGCGGTCGGATCTGTTGTTAGGAATGTCTCAAGTTAAAGTTTACTTACTTGCGAACCTGGGATCGTTGGGCGAGGCTCCGTACCATCCCGGCGTGTTGCCGTACGAGATGTCCGTCGTGTTGCAGTACTGGGCAGGAAACTGGTGGTGTACGTGCATGTAGGGGTTCGGTTGCGGAGGGCTGGGTACGGTGCCCGTGGATCCTCCTCCCGTCGATCCTCCGCTCCTGTACGGGCTGAGATCCAATTTTCTGTAGCCTTCTTCGATCGGGGAGAGGATGTCGGTGACGGAAAATGGTGTCGTGTGCTGGTGTTTGGGGCTGAGGGACATGGCCAGGTCTGGCCCGTTCAGCTCGGGGAGCAAATCCCCCGGCTCAGGAGTGTAAGCCTGAGAGCCACTCTGTAATAAACTGTTACCCGACATCTGAACACACTACTCTCCACACGTCGAGTGCTCCTCTACTCTCTCTTAGCTTTGGGCGGGACCAAACCACGCCCCGAGACCTCCTCCTCCTCCTCCCTTCCTCGACCCTACCCTCGGCCATCCCCAACGCCCGAACAGTGAACACACTACCGACATCCCGATTCTATAGAAGAACTTCATTCATTTTTTAATCTTCCTAAATGCTGTTTCGGCCTTTCCTTCTCCCTTCCTACGCCTACGCGAGAACTCTTTTTCACTTTTTTTTCAAAACACCGCCCTTTTCATTAATTAATCGATTGACTTCTATTCATCTCGTAATGAACCGAAAAGGTCAGGGTTGCTGTGTCCACTGATCTACTTGTCTTCAACTTTATGTGATTGATATATCAGACCTTTGGTCAATATAATCTCTTGGTTTTTTTATGCAGGGTGACTGGCGATAAGTGTCGAAAATTTCAGGTGTTTCTACTCACCATATGCAACAAAAAACTTCCTATAAACCACTGTCCAAATCTCAATAGTAAAGAAGTAATTTCAGGTTTTGTATGTTTTTTAATTTTTCGAATTAGGTCCACTAACTAAATTGCTTATAAACTTCAGAATTACTGACTGTAGAAAAATCTGGTTTGTGCCACCTGAAAGAACGTTAAATTTAATTGATGAAAAAATTCTGCACGAAAAATTCAGAAAAAACAAAAATGTTGAAATTAGGAATTTTTTTTAGAATGTTGGATTGGTAACTGTTAATAACTACAAATTCCTGGAGGTTTGCAAATTCCATCGAAAATTCTACATTCAATCAGCTGCCAGCGGTATACCCACCTTTTTGGATTGCGATTCTGGAAAGCCCAAAAACTTTGCATTTTGTTAAAAAAAAAAAAAAAAATCTGGTGTCGATGAAGGGGGGGAGTTCATTTTTTCCAGGAAATCCGTCTAGCTCTTGAGTTTCGTGTCTGTTCTTTAATGTTCAATTCAATCAGTTTGCTTTATGCTATTAGCTAACAACATACTCAGGTTGGTGATTTACATTATATTCTTGTTTCCTAGTACACATCTTGCTGATATTTTTCATTTACGGATACTGCAACGGTAATGCTATTGCTCCAAGGGGAAGAATACCAAGCTCGTTTTCCTCATTGAGACATTCCAGCAGATCGCACCTTCGAACGACTTCATCAGAGGCTGAGGGAAACTGGTTCTTTCACTCGAAGAAAGAGAGAAGACAATCAGTGAATCGATGTAGGTGAGGAAATTTTGCATTCTGTTAGTCGTGATCCCGAAACCAGTACGCCTGCCTTATGTATAGATCTTGGTGTTTCACAATGGAAAGGTTGGGATACGTTGGTGGTCATTTCGTTCCAAACTTTGCACCCTCTTTTTTGATTTTTTTTGGGCTTTCCGGAAGCGCAATCCAAAAAGGTGGGTATACCGCTGGAAGCTAATTGATGGAATTTGCAAAGATCTAGGAGTTTGTAGTTATTAACAGTTACCAATCCAGCATTTTTAAAAAATTCCTAATTTCAACATTTTTATTTTTTCTGAATTTTTCGTGCAGAATTTTTTCATCAATTCTGCAATATAAATAAGTTTCCATACAGCAAATTTAACGTTCTTTGAGGTGGCACAAACCAGATTTTTCTACCATCAGTAATTCTGAAGTTTACAAGCGATTTAGTTAGTGGACCTTAGTCGAAAAATTAAAAAACACCCAAAACCGAAATTACTTCTTTACCGTTGAGATTTGGACAAGGGTTTATAGGAAGTTTTTTGATGCATATAGTGAGTAGAAAAACCTCCCGAAATTTTCGACACTTATCGCCAGTCACCCTGTATAATTTCTTGTTTTATTAACAAAATTGCATCCCACAAATTGTACATCAATTACACATCTTTTTTAACCATGGGATATAATTACATTTTAAATAATTAAGAATTTAATTTTTAGCGACGTCCCCCGTTTTTTTGACGCTAAAAATGCAATAAAAAGACGATTAAAAGAAAGTGGCATTGACGGCGGGCTGGATCGGCAGATCTACAATCTCACTTGACCAGGTACTCGTGGAAGAATGGCCATCCTCACGCGACCAAAGATAGGCCATACGAGATTGACACACGGACACTTACGTTTAGTCCAAAATTTGAGAATTTATTGGGCATGCGGTCCTTGAATTAATCATAACACTGTATTACAGTGGAAACCCGTTTATCCTGACCCCGATTATCCGGCCGTTTGTTAAAATATTTTTTATAAATTTTTCATAATTCTCAATGTATGTATTAATTTTTTGAAATTCATAATTTAATTATCACACCTTTAATTCGTCGTTCGAAATTCGTAAAGGCCACCAAATCGCCCTTCCACTAGCCACACGATCAAAGAGGCCGAAGTCACGTTTTTGTTTACAAAACAATATTTTAAAAAATTAAATAAATAAAATTTAAAAAAAGTGTATCCTTTTTTAAAAGAGTAGAAATTGTTGTGTGGTTTTGTTTGTATATTGGCTTCCATTGAAAAGGTTTTTTTTTATTACGTATATTTTTGTTAGGTATTTTTTTCGTATAAATTTTTCGATAAACGCGTGTCCGGACTTAAACAAAAATAAAATCTATAAAAACTATCTATTACTTAAACGTAACTTCATATATAAATAAAATTGTTCACTTTCGTATGTGTTTTTTTCCTTTTTTATGACACGGTACTAATAAAATCCCAAATTTTCGGATTATCCAGACTTTCGATCATCCGGTCAAGTCCTGGTCCGTTCAAGTCCGGATAAATGGATTTCTACTGTATTATGCCAAGCTTTCGGCCTATATTTGCCCTTCCTCAGGACACTACAACAACATAAAAATGGTAGTTATCTCGATTGATAAACAATACCTGACTATTTTCACTTAAAGGGTGAAAAGAGGTGTTTCAAATAAAAAATTTAAATCTTTAACTTTCAGTTTGTTACATTGTTATTGATAACTGTGTACTTGCATGTTTAATGTAAATATTAGGGGTATTCACGATGCTTGTAATATGTTAACTCGAGTTAACTGGAATAGAGAAGTGTCCAGTAAGATCGTGAATCCCCCTTCTTTTCTTAGTGTGTTAAACGTTACTTTTTCCGCAATGCTGCGCGTGGCGATTGGTAGGGCCAAAAATAAAGCTATACAAGTCCTTGAAGGCTTGTTGTTGTTTGTTAAGGTTTTGTTTTGTGTTAAATTGTAAGATGCCAGAAGTTACTAAAAAAGGAAAATTAATCAACTCTTTCAAAATGCTATGCACACGAAAAGTATTAACAGATGAAAAGCTTCAATTCGTGCCGACGTACCTAACCTGTATCCTAACGTCTAACAGCCTACTACTTTATAGGATAGGGGATGTATCTATTTTGAATGAGAGTATAAGGACAGGTTAGAAATTGACAAAAGAAATGTATTGGTATGATTTAATTAACGGCAACGAAAGGCATGAAGACTTTCTTGAAAAAGAGAGACTCTAAAGCCGGGAACACACGTACCCGATGCTACGCCATCCGACGCTACCCGACGCCTTGCCACGTTTTGGTGGGGGTGGGCACATCTATCCGACGCAAGCACACGTCGCGTACAGTCCACAGCGTTTGTCACAATAATCACTATCACAATCGCAACGCATCTTTTGTTCTTAATGCACTATTTTGAGCAAAACCTTGTAATAAATTGTTAGTTAAATTTTATGAGCACAACCATCTAATAAATTGTTTGTTAAACTTAATTGCTTTAAATAAAGTTACTCCTAACCATCATAATTAAACAATGTTTATAAAAACTTATGCATTTTTTATCTCGTTTAATTTGGTTTACATTAAAATAACATGTTGTAATTAATATAACGACAAAATTACATGTACTTAGTTTGAAATAAACTACAAAAAATATGAGTGTCCTGTTCTGATGCTACCCGACATTACAAAATGGTGTAATTTTACGAGCAAAACTATGAAATAAATTGTTAATTAAATTTTATGAGCAAAACCGTGTAATAAATTGTTCCAATTTTAGTATATGTACCGCCGAAGCGAGTACAATAAATTGTTAGTTAAATTCATTATATCAAAAAATCGTATTCCGGTGTTTTGATTAATTTTCTACCAAACCATTAAAATTAATTTTTTAAATAAAAACTAATTAATTTTTAATCACAGTTAATTTGGTTTATATTAAAATAAGTATGTTGTAATTAATATAACGACAATAATACATGTAGTTTGAATAAAAATATGAGAGTCCGGTTCTTTTGTCTTCGACTGTACTCGATGCGACCCGACGAAAATCTGGACAGTGGGGATCGCAAAGCGTCGGGTAGACGTGCACGGGGGTAGTGCAACCTTATGGAAAATCGGAGTTTGGATTTGCGTCGGGTAGCATCGGGTAGATGTGCACGGGGGTAATGCAACCTTATGGAAAATCGGAGTTTGGATTTGCGTCGGGTAGCATCGGGTAAGTGTTTTTCTGGCTTAAGGCTTGTTTCATTTTTAGTCACCTGCGAATAAGGGGAACGTAACTTAATTGAGACATATCATTAATTTTAACCACGTTCTTGGTCCGCCAATCCTCGCTGAGTTGGTCAGACCCGTTTCAACAGTTCATTATCTTCAGTCTGTCTCTTATATCTGAGAGACCTGCCGAGCATGGGCAGACCGAGATGATCGGTATGGTTGATTCCAATCCGCAAATCACAAAGGGAATACTCTCGATCTCGCTAATATGTACTTGACAGTGTATCAAAACGACAAATAATTTAATTTTAAGAAAGGTATAAAGCAAAATAAATCATAGAGATAAGATTTTTTGTTTAAGTTACAGTAGAAACCGCTTATACTAACATCCAAAGGCTTAAGAACTTGGTTCTTATAACCGGTAGTTCTTATATTAGGTAGTCAACTTTAAAATGCTGGGAATACAGAGACATATCATGTACATATCACCTAGGACATAGGAAAGAAAAATAAGGTTTAAGAACAAACAACTGATCCTTAAATTTGAAGCAGTCGTTTAGAAA